TGGGTTTCATCTATCTATCTATCTATCTATCTATCTATCTATCTATCTATCTATCTATCTATCTGTCTATCTGTTCATTCATCTCTTTATTCATTTATCTCTTTTCTAGTTATCTACTCATTCATTTATCTTTATCTATTCATTCATCTCTTTATTAATTTATCTCTTTTCTAGTTATCTACTCATTCATTTATCTTTATTTATCTATCTATTCATTCATCTCTATTCATTTATCTCTTTTCTAGTTATCTACTCATTCATTTATCTTTGTTCATCTATCTATCCATCTATCATCTATCTATCTATCTATCTATCTATCTATCTATCTATCTATCTATCTATCTATCTATCTATCTTTTTGGTTATTTATGAGAGCAGATGGACATATGCCCCAAGGAATCAAAGACAAAAGGTCTCATATGAACCAAAGTAGTCATGGTGACACTTTTTGTGGAAGAATTGGAAACAGGATGGAAAGGTGCCCACAAACTTCTTGCTGTTGTTCAGTCATTTTCAGTCATATCCAATTCTTTCTGACCCTACTTGGGGTTTTCTTGGCAAAGATAGGGAGTAGTTTGTCATTTCCTTCTCCAGCTCATTTTACAGATGAGAAGAGGCACATAGGACTTGCCCAGGGTCACACAGCTAGTAAATGTCTGAGGCTGGATTTGAAGATGAGTCTCCCTGACTCCAGGCCTGGCACTCTCTCCATTGTGCCATCTAGCTGTCCAACATCAACTAGAGAAGGGCTGAAGTGCTGGATTTGGAGTCAGGAAGATCTGAATTCGAATCCTGGTTCAGATACTTACTAGCTATGTAACCCTGACTGAGCAAATTACTTTAAATTTTTCAGCCTCAGTTTCCTCATCTGTAAAATTGGGCATAATAATAACACCCACCTTGAATGGTTGTGAGGATAAAATGGATTATGTTTATAAAGTGCTTTGCAAGCCTTAAAGAAGTATGTACTATATAGTGTTATGTGCTCTATAAAACACTATATAATATGAATATTTATTATTATTATTATTATATTTCAGTAGAACTCTGGAATCTTATATGTCCTAAGGCAGAGGTTTTATCCTCTTTTGTGTGTCATGGATTCCTCTGGCAGTCTGGCAAAGCCTGTGGATCCCTTTCAGAATAATATTTTTTATTTTTTATTTTTAGGCAGTTGGGGTTAAGTGACTTGCCCAGGGTCACACAGCTAGTAAGTGTCTAATGTTTGTTCTGAGGTCAGATTTGAACTCAGGTCCTCCTGACTCCAGGGCCAGTGCTTAGGATAATGTTTTTAAATACACGAAATAGGATACGTGGGATTACAAAGAGAACCGATGATGCTGAAATACAATTTACATATTTCTGTATCTATATATAAATATATGTATATGTTGTGTGTATGTATGTATGTGTGTATGTGTGTGTATATATATATATACTCAAAGTTCACTGATCTCAGGATAAGAATCTGTGCCAAGAGTTGGAGAACGAGAAAGACATACTGGGGTATTGGCCTCCCCAGCCCAGGCCTCCTCTTTGCCTCCATCTCCAAGGGTTGCCATTCCCGCCCTTTCTGCATTCCACCATCCCAGGGCTACAACCTTCATTGTCCAGAGGCTCCATAAACATCTCTTTCTCTCTCCGCTTTCATAGAAATGCAAAGGGTAAACCTCCTCTTTCCTCTAACTTTAAGAATCTCCATTGGCATCCATGGGCTACCTACCACTCTAGCCAGAGAGAGGAAGTATGATTTGATAGAGAGAGGCATGGATATGGATTTAGAAGACCTGGGGTTTAGTTGCAATGCTGTCACCCACTAAACCAGAGGTTCCTAACTTAGGCGTCTGTGAAGTTGTTTTTTAAAATAGTTTGATAACTGTATTTCAATAGAATTTGTTTCCTTTGTAATCCCATATGTTTTATTTTACACATTTAAAAAATATTTTGAGAAGTGACTCCTAGGTTTCACCAGACTACCAGAAGGGTCCATGGCATAAAAATTGTTGAGGACTCCTGCACTAAATGGATAAGCTTAGGCAAATTTCTTAACTTCCCCCAAACTCAGTTTTTTCATCTATAAAGTGAAAATGATAATGCTAGTCAGAGGGCTGTTATGAGGATTTAGTAAGATCATGGATGAGAATCTGCTTTCTGAACTGTAATGTACTGCACAAATTCAAATCTTTACAATACAATTTAGTATTATTATCCGAGCCCATCAGTTATCCTTTCTGAAGAAGGGCGCCAAAAAAGGCTGAAACCCTGGACATTCCTTACTTATTAAACTTTTACTGGAAAAGCCTATCACCTTTCCTGTCAGAGATTATATTTCCTTGAAAACAAACACTTCTGACTTTCCTTTCCCAGAAGGGTAAAAAGTGCAGGTTGTCTGTTTTTATGAAAAGCTGTATTTCAAGAGACTAGTATGTGAAAGATGAAGGACATTTTGCTCTCAGGATTCTAAGAGGCTATTGGTCTAGGCAAAAGTGCAGGTGGACTGGAATGGCTTTAAAATATATTTTTGTTGCCTGACGATGCCCTATGTATGGCCAAGTCCACTAACCATCGTTTGCCCACCCAACTGGAGCCTGACTCTATATCCTCTTAGACCCAGAAAGGGAAGTCGGGGTGGCCACATGAAGAATCCCCACAATCTCTTCCTTCTCTGAATTCCATTAATTACTGCTTCCCCAAATTGGCACCAGTAGAATATGAACTCATCATCCTTTCTACAATTAAGGATTTCCCTTCATCTCCTGGCACAATTTGATTCCTTGGCCTTTCATCCAAATGCACTTTTTCCAAGAACTTTCTTCTGGAGGATGTTTCCACTTTGGTGGAAAGCCACTTCCTTTGGGGAAGAAGAGCATTTCTCCTGATCCCTGCCCTGCTCCCAAATGAAGGGAAATAGATCATGGAAGGAAACATAATCACTTTCAGTAAAAGCATTAATCTGCTGAGTATTCTGAGGTTTCCTAGGCTCAGATTGTGCAGGAAATTGTTCCTGCTTATATTCACTGAAAAAATATTTCTAATCTTTTAGCAAGGCGAAAGAGAGGAAACATTTGCAACATCTGATTAATAGCTAAAAAAAAGAGAAAAAACAGGCCGAACAAGCAACCACACCAAACTTGGAGTTTCCCCATCACATCTTTCGTGTTTGGCAACACTCAGCTTCTGTCCCAGGAGGAGAAATTGATTTGGATTGGCAAAACTAAATCTGACCTCTCTGTTTCTTTTTGATAGTTATCGTGTCTTAGTCCTTTGTTTGAGAATGATAAAGTGGGAGAAAATTCTCAGATGCTGTTTGTAAAATCAGTTGCTGGCAGCATTTTGCTGTGAGCATGACTTTCCTATGATTCTGGGACGGGTTCGTTCATTCACTCATAAACATTTATTAAGCACTGCTAAGTACAAGGTAATGCATTCACGTGATTGGGGGGTATAAAGTGGGAGTTAGTCACAGCTCCTGCTCTCATGGAGCTTACAATCTAGTTGGCAGCTGGGCATGGCTTCTAAATAATTCTTTTGCACACCTTAAGTATTCAATGTGACAAACCAGGTTGATTTGGTGACTTGTACTCCCCTTAGCTATGAGAGGATGAATGATTCTTGATTAAGTTCTGACCTCTCTTATTTATTCCACAGACACATATTGAGCACCAACAGAGGACACTGCTAGGCATGAAGCATTCTCTACCTGTATGATCCCTTACTTTTCATGGCTGCCCATCTCTGTCCCCAGCTTCAGATTTCCCCCAGAGCTCTCATTAGAGCCTCCAGAGCTGTTCTTAGCTTCTTCTAATTTGGGCCCATTGTTTCTGGGGTAACAAATAGCCCAGCTTTTGTTGCCTTGGTTTCCCTGGGATGTGCTCTTTCTGTATTTCAGCAGTCAAAGAAAAGACGGGCCTGATGACACCCCAGCAAAGAGGATGGGGTGCTGGGCCTTGGTTCTCAAAGGACCCAGAAGCCTCTCTGAATCTCAGACAGGAGCATGGCTCCCAGGTCAAGGTACTTTTTTCTCTGATGAATGATGGGGTATAGTTGCCTGCAGAGTTACGGGGCCACCTTCTGTATCTGTACTGAAGACCTGCTCCTTCTTCATTATGACATTCCAAAAGGAAAATATATTTCAGCCCAGTCCCCAGGCCTACCTTCAGCTTTGTAAATACCCACAAGGCAGGAATAGCATCAATCCTTAGAAATACACTAGATTGACTGCCTGGCTCCTTTGTGCCTGCTCCGCTTAGGGATACAGTGGTGGGGAACCTGCGGCCTCAAGGCCATATGTGGCCCTCTAGGTCCTCAAGGGTGGCCGTTTGAAGCCAAGTTTTACAGAACAAATCCTTTTATTAAGGGGATTTGTTCTGTGAAGTTTGGATTCAGTCAAAAGGCCACCCTTGAGGACCTAGAAGGCCACATGTGGCCTCGGGACCATCCTCACCAGTGGTAGACCATACTTGCCCAGTCTGTCTCTTAGTAGTATGATGTCTTCATAGACCCCATAAAATAAAATGGTCTTGCCTGTCTCTAAAGACCGTTCAGGAAGAAATCATTTTTCTTATTGTTTCTCTTACTGGGACACCTAGAGAAGGAGTCAAGAGATGAAATTTGCCCCACAGACTTGTTCTTGACACATTAGTTATCTTTTTGGTTTAAATCTGGCTACCCTGAATATAGGCCAGAAATCTAAAATGAAGGCTTTTTTTTTTTTTGGGCTAGGCAGTGGGGTTAAGTGACTTGCCTAGGGTCACATAGCTAGTGAGTGTTATGTGTCTGAGGCTGGATTTGAATTCAGGTCCTCCTAACTCCGGGGCCAGTGCTCTATCCACTGCACCACCCAGCTGCCCCAAATGAGGGCTTTTCAAGAGGGAAAATGACCCTACATGGGAGAAAACTTTTTTTTTTCTTCAAAATTAAATCTGTTGGGATAAGGAGCTCAAGTTGGTACTCTTTCTTTATCTGATAGTTTTAGTGCATTAAAAGGCTAAGTTACTCACCTAGGGCCACATAGTCAGCCAGGATACATCAGCAATAGAATTTGAACCCGGGCCTTCTCTTTTGAGGCTGGATCTCTTGACCCTACACCCTATTGGCCTGTGCAACAGAGAGATGCAAGGGGTCATAGCAAGTTAAAGAGAAGCCAGGAAAGTGGGGGAGATGACAGCAACAACAACAGCTAGCATTTATGTAAAACTTGAAGGTTTGCAAAGCACCTCACATATGTTATTTCATTTGATTCTGACAACAGCCCACAACAGCTCTGTGAGGTAGGAGCTGTTATCCTGTTTTACAGATGACTAAGCTGAGGCAGACGAAGGTTTTGTTTTTGTTTTTGTTTTTAGTGAGTTGCCCAGGGTCTCACAGCTAGTAAGTATCTGAGGGAAGATTCAAACTCAGATCTTCCTGACTCCCAGTCTAACACTCTGCCCCGTCTATTCCTATTCAGAACAGGACATTGGAATTCTCACAGCTGAGGAGACTAACACAGATAGAGATCTTACCCTGGATTGCCTTCTTCCTTCTCTCATTCCAAGCCCTCTCTGAAGTGCCAGTCCTTGGGCTGAGCTCCCCAGCCCTGCTCTCCCCTGGCCCCCTAGCAGCAGCCTCCTGCTTTCCAGGAGAAGTTCATTTTGTGATGTCAAGGCACCATCATTATGATGAGGACCAAGGAGGGACCAAGGAAGGAGTTGGACTCGAGTCCCAATTTTCAAACCTTGCCTAGAGGCTGACCAATGCCTTGCCTCGGCTCTGTCTGTCAGCGCCTCCATTTCAATCCTACCTCAACCTCAACACCCACTCCATCCTTCCCACCACAAAGTTTCCTGGAATTGAGTGAACTAAGTTGGCAAGTCCAGCCCCGTGGGAGGAAAGCAACACTGTGGGAAGTGGACCATGACCCTTTATTAAATTTCAAAGCCATGGAGAGAGTTAAAAAAAAAAACAACCCAGAAACAACAGTTCTAACAAAGAATCCTTAGACTAGAGGGGATCTAGAGAAGTCATCTAGTCCAGCCCCCTGTCCTTATGCTATATAATATGTATAATCCTCTTTTTTAAAAAGTTAATTTAAAACTAATTTATTAACAAATTTTGTTTTTACATTCACTTTATTTTGCAACATGATCCTCTACCTCTCCCACTCAGAGAGCCATCCTTTGTGTAACACAACTCCCAACCAAGTTGGATGGAGTCCGGTTAACACTTGTTTATTTATTCATTTTTTGGTGTGACTTGCCCAGAGTCACACAGCTAGTGAGTATTATGTGTCTGAGGCCAGATTTGAACTCAGGTCCTCCTGACTTCAGGGCCAGTGCTCTATCCACTGCACCACCTAGCTGCCCCCCAGTTAACACTTGGAACAAAGAAGAGTTATGAGAAGGCACCTCCCTCACTTCCTTACAAAGGTGGGAAACTATGGGTGTGGGATACTGCATATAATGTCATACTTTTTGGTGTGTTGCTATATTCATTAGGAAATGTAGATGACATTAAAATAAAAAGAACCAATAAAAATTCACTAAAAAAATAATTTAAAAGGATTGAGAAAGAGAAAAGCAGTTGAGGAAAATTAATCAATACATCAATCAAATCCAAACATATATTTAGTGATCCATGTTTATAGTTTCTCATCCCCGCAAAAAAGAAAAAAAAGAGGGAGGTGACTTCCAGGTCACCTAACCAACAAGATAGAAAACTAGATATTTTCTCTAATCCCTCTGACATCTTAAACCTCTCCAAAACAGAAATTATGTGCCAAAGATAAAGTAACTTTAGCTGTTTCCGTGGTCTAGGACACCCAGAATCCAAAAGAAGGTTAAAAAAATCTACGAACTAATACCTAATTCAAGCTCACTCAGTAGCTACTCCCCTACCACCCACCATACTCTCAGCAACAAAGCTACAGTAGCCAATTGACCCACGGGCTTGTAATAAATTCCAGCCCTATACCCTGATATACACAAGCCCCCTTCTACTTTCCAGTGCCCAGAAATCCAGGTTCCAAACTGCAGAAATTTGCTGAGGCCATGGCAGACAGCACCACAGCATCATTCTGTGCGGCAACAGAGAATGGCCAGAGTGGAGGAATGGGGCGAGCCACTTGTCTGGGCTTGTAATAGAGCTAACTCTATGCCCTGATCCCTGCCTCCTCCGAATGCCAGAAGAACCAAACTCCAAACCACAGAAATTTGCCCATGCTACAATACTACCAGCATGGCATGCCCTGTACTGTCGTGCCAGAGAACCAAGAAACAGAGGGAATGGGACAGGACAGTATGTGTGAGGGAGGAGGTTGATATTCCACTAAACTTAAGAAAAAGAACCCAGTATCTAGCTAGGGCCAATTCTGTCACCCCAGCCATAACTTGGAGCAGAGACTTAGTCTAGTGAATGGCATATTTCTCAATGTGGGAGGCAGGTGAGATATTATGAGATCTATCACCTAGGGAAACCACCATCAGAGGGGAGGGAGCCAGAAAGTGAGCAATAGAAAAAAAAATAAAGGGGAGGGAGGAGATTGAAATTACCAAAGATCTGAGGAGTAATAAAATTCAAAGACCTTGAACACAAGCAGATAAACAAATAGGAAAACATTAATAGCAGAAAGAAACATTTCCTCCAGATCTAGTAAACTAGTAGGCATCTCCTGCAAAGCAAAGGAAATACCTAATGAGGCAGGGGACTCTGTGGATTTTGAGGAAAACATGGAACCACAACATGCTGTTCTACAACGATTTGAAAGAGAAATGAGAATTGTGAGAGCAGAATTTATGGCATACATAGCAAGAATAATTGGCAAAAGAGAAAAAATCTTGCATTTTCAGTAGAGAGAGGGGAGAGAGAGAGAGAAGGAGGAGGAGGAAGAAGAAGAAGAAGGAGGAGGAGGAGGAGGAGGAGGAGGAAGGAAAACTGATTGGGAATGCAAATGGGTGATGCCTATTGATTTGTGTATAAATTAGATTTAAGTGAGGCAGTGCACAAAGTTATCAGCCTCACTCTCTTTTTCAGAATCATTATAATCCAGTGGCAGGACAGAGTCAAGACAACTGGTCAAGATGCAGTAGATGACCGTGGTGCCTTTGATGTCTAACCAAGCTCTAAGTGCTCAATAGCACCTGCTTTAGCTGCCTTCATGGCCATTGGAACAAATTATTCTTATTTGCCCATTCCACCAGGGAAAATCTTCACATGCTTGGGGTAAACATACCCCCTAACTCACCGAAGGGTTTGAGAGGCCTCGGTTACCTTCAACCTGGTTTAGCCCGTCTGCCAAAACAGTCTGAATAACACAAGACTATCCTGTACCCACCAGAAAATGCAGGAGTGAATGGAATACTGCATTCTTCCATGCAAATCTAAACTTAACCATAAATGAAAAAAAGATGGATGTTCAATAATAAAGAGGCATTCAAAGTATTCTTAGAAAGAAAACCAAACCTTGAGAGATAATTTTTTCTTCTGGAATTCCCCAAATAACAGAAATGCAGAAGGGATAAGCAGCTAAGGACAACAACAGAGTGAAGATAGAGAGACCAGTAAGAGACTTTTTTTTTCTAAATATACACAAGGAGACAGGACTGAAGGTGGAAATCAGATGGAGGTGATGGTGGAGAGGCAGTCCTGGGGCACTGTGGACTGAACCTTGTGGCACCCCTTTTATTCGTGAACCAATATTTTTCATGAGACAAAATTACAAAATGGGAAGTTAAATGGAAGAGGCAGAGGGAGGGAGAGGGAGGAAGAGGATAGAAGAGAAAGTATGACATGCCTTAATCAAATTGAAGGGAAGTGACTCTTGTAGTTTCTCAGGAGGAGGAGAGCCTACAGGGGAGCTAGCAAAGAGGCAAGGGGAGGGATTGAAAAGGGGAAGAAGGGGAAGAGGGAGGACTTGTTTTGGTGATGAGAGGGGGTTCCACTGACAAACAATGATCCTAGACAATTCCAAAAGACTCGTGATGGAAAATGCTCTTCACCTCCAGAGAAAGAACTGATGGAGTGTGAAGTAGATGGAAGCATACTATTTTCACCTTCTTTGGTTTTTTTGGTGGTCTTTTTCTTTTGTTCTGTTTTTTTCTTTCACAACATGACTAATGAGGAAATATGTTTAATATGATTGCACATATATAACCTGTATCAGATTGCTTGCTTTCTTGGAAAGGGGAAAGGGAGGGAGAAAAATTTGGAACTCAAAATCTTATAAAAAATGAATGTTGAAAATTGTCTTCACATGTAATTGGAAAAAATAAAATAGATTTACATTAGAAAAAAACCTTAAAGTCTGGGGGAAAAAACAATAATCCCTGACTTCCATCAGAGCAGAGCTCAGGCTTCATCTCCCACATGAGGCCTTACCTAATCTCCTCCAAAATTATTATTAAATTTAATTTGTATATACTTTATACTGACTTATCTGTGTATATGTTGTTTCCCCTCCATAATAAAAATGTAAGCTGTTTGAGAGGAGGGACGATTTTTTTTTTTTTGCTTAGTGGCAAAAAGACCATTGGATGGGAACTACAGGGCTGCAGATTTTAGCTCAACATGAGAGAGAACTTCCTCGTGATTGGAGGTGACTGAAGGCGAAGAACAGGTTGCTTTTAGGAGATGGCAGCGCTCCCTCACTGGAGACATTCAAATAGAAACTGAACGAATACTTCTAGGATCTTATGTCTGGACCTGGAAGGGGCCTTAGAAACCATTTAGTCCAATCTCTCATTTTACAGAGAGGCTGAGAGGGAGGTGAAGTGATTTGCCCAATGGCACACTAATAAGTGACAGAAGTGAGATTTGAGCCTAGATTCTCTGACTCCAGAGGCCAATGACCTTTCCCTTAGGTTTGTCATAAACAAGATCTATGCTTCACGTAGAAACTAGATGCCCCTCGAGGTACCACAGTGCCTGGAACATAGTAGGCACTTAATAAATGTTTGCTGAATTATTACCTGCGAAGGTTCCGTGATTCCGTGATTCTAAATTGTCCTATGTTAACTTAGTTCAGTGTGGATCCTGGTGAAAAGAAGTCAGTTGATAGAGACATCATGGTAGACCCCTAGTATGGGAGATGCTCTGTGTGTGTGTGTGTGTGTGTGTGTGTGTGTGTGTGTGTGTGTGTGTGTAAGCAAAAGGATGATAGAGGTGTGCTAGCTCTAATTACTTATAGAGCTGATTTTAAATTTCAATGTGAACATTTATACCTTAGAAATCATCAGAGTGTTAATAATGCAAATTAAACTTGAAAGTATGTGTCCATACATGTTTTTCTTCCAGAGAGTTTGGTTGTTAAACATTTACAAGCACACCCCTGGAATAAGCAAAGGCATATCCAGCATGGGCAGAAGCACAGCGTATCCCGGGGGATCCTGGTCTCTCTTGAGTGCCAGAAAAAGGAAGAGGCATGAGAGAAAAAGGTCTAAAATGAAAAGATTTGTTAAAACTCATATGAGGTTTCTAGTCAGGCAGCACAAGGGATATAGATGCATTGGTCGTTAGAAGAGTGAGGGCTGAGAATAGATGGGGATGAGAGGTTGGGGACTGGTAGCTGGGAAGGAAGTGGTATCTATCTAGTCAGCCAGTGAAG